CGTGTTTACGTAAATTAGAAATATTTGAAAAGTATTTCTTGCACTCCTTGTATACAGAATTCATGATTTATTTTAAAAAGATAATGCGATAAATAAATCACAGCTGATAAGATAACCTCACAAAATTATGACTGCATTGTTTATTAAAATGTAAAATACTCGAGAATTGCCATATAAATAATACTATTAAATAAATTTTACACTATAAAATTTGTGAAATTTTAAAAAATTTTGCATAAAAAATAGTTAAAGATATTTGGTACCTACAGTACAAAACAATGAAATCTTTTTATGGTTGTCAAAATGATTTTAAAAGAATCTGCATATTGTATATTATTTTAATTTGGCAACACTGCTTCTATCGCCACCCTGCTGCTCCCTAGACGCTAGTATGGCAAAAGGACACGTTTATTGTACAATCCAGTTTGTGAATGTCTTAAGACCAAATTTTTTCAATTCACTGGTCGCACCATTTGCTGTTGCTAATGATCTTCTCATCAAAATTTCTAGGCCTTCTAATAAATGAAAACTTAGATTTTAATTGTCATATTGAACAACTTTGCACTAAGTTAAATAAAACTTTGTATTCAATTAGGGTCATTAACAAATATGTAGATTTTTAAACATTAAAAACTGTATATTATGTCAATTTTCAGTTTTTACGTAGGTAGGCATAATCCTTTGGGGTCAAAGTTCGACAGTACAAGTGGTTTTTGCCTGCCAAAAAAGAGTTTTGCGTGCAATGTTGGGATTAGGGTACATGTCTTCATGTAGAGGACATTTTAAAAATGTTAAAATTCCAATTGTAAGTGGCCTTTATGTGTATGAACTATTACTGTATATGTTTCAAAACAAACAAAAATTTGAACAATATAGGGCAGAAAACTTAAAAAATGTGTGCTCCCTTCCAAAAATTCACCATTGAAACCAATTCAAAAATTCACAATTAAAAACAATAAGAATTAACTGGTTTCAATAAGGATTACACTCGGGTTTTGAAACCGCATTAAAATGGTTTGAATCAGCATTAATATGGTTTTTTACAATTAATTTGTATAGGATTTTAATACAACCTTATTGGTTTAAAAGATCTTCTGAATAGGTTTTAATGTGATACTTACTGGAACAGACGTTCTTGGATATACATTGGTGAATTATTTTTTATTAGGCTTTTATTGTTTTTAATACATTCCAAATAGAAACATGTAGAATTCAATTAAAATCAAAGCAGTTGAATATATAGAACCATATAGAAACCTATTGGATTTAGGTAATTAAAGTTAATTAATTTTAATTAAATCCAATATGTTTATATATGGTTCTACATGTATTCAATTGCCTTGAGGCATTTGCCTTAAGGCAATTAAATGTATGTATAACCATATATAAACATATTGTATTTAATTAAAATTAATTAAATCCAATATGTTTCTATATGGTTCTATATATTTACCTGCTTTGATTTTAATCAGATTCTACATGTTTTTATTTGGTTGTACTATCATTGACACCAAAAACGCCCACCCAGTGACATTTTACATCTGTCAGTTTAACTCTAACTTTGTCTTATTTTTTGAAAATAATGCAATTAAATTAATTTATGTATTTTTAATACACAAAAATATTTATATTTCATTATTTTCAGAAAATAAAATTAGCGTTAAACTGACGGATAAAAAAATCCCAATTATTTGTAACAAATGTCATACAAGCAATATAACTATATAACCAATATTAAATTAAGGTTATAACCTTAATTTTAATTAGATTTAAAATGTTCCTATTTGGTTGTACATGTTGTTTTAATTAAAACTATGGTTAATAATTTATAAAATATATTCTAATAAAAAAACAAAATCAATTGTTAACAAAATCTTTAAGAACTTAAAAAATATAAACCCATTTAAAAAAAAAATTAATAATAATAAATTAATAAAAATAATAAAAAAATTTAAATATGTAATAATAAACTTGAGTTTACCTATAGGTACGTACAGTATCAGACAAAAGTAAAGAAACAACAGTAAAAAATTTAAAAACGCCCTAATCAATCTGTATGAAAATTTGAGTAAAAATATTTTTAAAGCTCTTTTATAACGAGACGCTAAATGCCACTGGCGGCTCCTCTTACTGCGCATGATCGCTTAATTGGCAAATCTGCCGCGATTCAAAATGTTAAAGGCGCGTTAGTTACGTCCATAAAACTCAACAACACAACCCAACCGACCCCGCCCCATTGAGCAAAAAACCCAACTAAAATGGGCAAATTTATGTTACGATAAAAATAAAACACTTTTTAACAAAGGAACAACAAATTTATGAAATAAAAAAAGTTCGACAACTTCTAGTAGATTTTATGTTACGATAAAACTAAAACAAACCAACCAACCAACCCAACCCAACCGAACACTGTTTAACAAAGAAAAACAAATTTATGAAATAAAAAAATAAAAAAAGTTCGACAGCTTCTTAGTATCGAACCCGGGACCTCTCGCATGACAAGCGACCAAATTCCAAATTCCAAAACGTTTATTTACAGTTAAAAATATCACAGTCATTTCATAGTACAAAACATATTAGCAAGCTTATTAATTTTAATTTTATATAATACAAAGCACAATGTGCTAATAATAAAATTTTGCTGGGTCCGGAGAGTCCTAGGCGTCCCAGGCCACTGGCGATGTTGTGCCATGTTCGTATGCTTGCACCATGTTTTGAATTTTCAGAGTTCGGCTAGCCATTCCATTCGCAATGCGATTCAGGGGCTCTGTTGCAGTTCATGTTTTTCAAAGATAATTGAGGTTTATTTATAGCTATTGTTTTTTCAAAATTTTTGGTTATTCATATAGGAAAATTAGTAAAAACCTATTTTAGACAATTGAGATAATTTATGGCTTTCAAATATATTATTATGGTTAGGGTTTTTTTTTTATTTTTGGGGTTGTTGTTACCCCTACTGAACGCAGGTTCTCGATGACTCGTCTGTTGGCAGCTGCCTAATTTGGCCCACTTGTGCGGGGTCAGTCAGCCAGCCGCCATCACTCGCCAGCGCTTGTGCGCTTTTTGGCTTTGTCAGTAAGGGTATTTTATTTAAGGGTGTGTCAATGTATTTGAAGGTGTGGCGTAATCAAGTTAAAGGTGTCTAGGCCAGCAGAAATTTATTTTGCAGGTGTTTAAACGATTTTTATATGAAAATGTAAAAATTTATGTGCCTTGAGTGATAATATTTATTTAGTGCTTTATTGGTTTCTGGGCAGACGGAAGATTGGCAAACTTCCGTATATTAATCTGTGTTTATAGTTTACATTGTCACCTTGTCGAATGTTTGTGATTTCACGTGTTAGCGGACTTTTTTGGATGCCGTAGGTATAGAAATTGTTGGCTATACGACTAATGTGGTCTGTCATTAGTTCCATTTCCGCTAACTCGTGTAATCTGTCTACAGTTGTGTAGCGGCCGCTGTTGGTAACGTGTCTGAGCGCATTATTTTGCAATCTTTGTACTGTGTTCAGTTGGGTGTTTGAAGCACAGCACCAGACCGGGCAGCCGTACGTTAATGCAGGTCTAATTGCTGTTTTATAAAGTATGGTCTTGTTCTTTATAGAAAGGGGGCTTGTTGATTAGCGGGTATAGTATGCGTATTGCTGTACTATACTTTTGTTTCAGCTTCGCTATGTGTGGTCCGAAAGTCAGTCGTTTATCGAACGTAATCCCAAGATACTTGACAGTGCTTTTGTCGCTGATGTTAGCGTTGTTAAGTTTAATTGGTGCAAAGATACGGTTGTTAGTGTGTTTGACACTGAAGTTGATGACTTCAGTTTTGTCATAGTTAATGTTAATTTTCCATTTATGGAAGTAATTGATGAGCGTATTTAAATAGATTTTAAGCTGTGTTGTGGATAGAGGTGTCGTCGGCGAAAAGGCCGACTTTGACGTGGGATGATTTGGGAATGTCAGCTGTATACAAAGTATAAAGCTTAGGTGCTAGGACGGTTCCTTGAGGGGGGCCGGCTTCGATTTGGTAGTATTGGGAGTTTATCTGGTTGACACAGACTTGGAAGGTCCGACCAGATAGGAAAGATAGGATTAGTTTTACAATTTGGTGTGGCATATTAAAGGATAATAGTTTGGCAGTAAGTCCGTCCAGCCAAACCCTGTCGAATGCCTTTTCGACATCAAGGAGGGCCATAACAGTGTTCTGGCCACTGTTATAGGCCTGCTTGACTTCATGGGCAATTCGCACTGCTTGGTGGACGGTGCTCAAACCGGGTTGGAATCCAAATTGCTCGGGAGGGGTAATTTTCAGTGTTTTGTCGAGTTTATTAAGGATAGGTAGGATTGCGCGTTCAGCAACCTTTGAAAGGTTGCTTACTAAGCTTATGGGACGGTAACTGGAAGGTAGGGACAAATCTTTGCCAGGCTTAGGGAGAGGTAGAATAACAGCATGTTTCCATGCTGTTGGGAAGTAGGAAAGCCTTATACAAGCGTTAATGATATATACAAGTTGCACTGTCGTTTTCTTCGGAATACGTTTTATAGCCATGTTGTCGATGCGGTCGTGGCCGGGGGCTTTGTTATTTTTAAGGTTGTTTATTATTTTGAATAAGGTTTGTGGTGATGTTATATATGTGTTATCAATGGGGGTATGTTGGTTTTTGAATCGTCCTGCGGTTGAAACAATGCGACGTTGGTCTTGTGTCAGGTTTGAAGTGTCGGTTTTTGTGATGTGGCTGAAGTATTGGCCGAACACCTCAGCCTTTTCAGCATGACAAGCGACCGCCCTACCATCTGAGCTATCTACGGATTATAATTATAACGTGCCTTTAACATTTTCAATCGCGGCACATTTGTCAATTAAGCGATCATGCGCAGTAAGAGGAGCCGCCAGTGGCATTTAGCGTCTCGTCTTTTATATGGTATTGAAAAAACCTCTAAAAATAAAACTTTTAGGGACATTTATTTTGAAGTAAATAAAAAATACCCCTTAAAAGATCGTATTTTTGTTAGTAAACTCTGAAAATTTTGTTCAAATGAAATGAACAATAACAAAGATAAATCGATTCAAAGTCGTCAAAAATAAACAGTTTTTAACAAAATCACCTAAAAGTGGTCGATTTGGCGATTTTGAGTCGCTGAATCTTCATTATTGTTAATTTAATTTGAACAAAATATTCAGAGTAAACTAACGAAAATAGGATCTTTTAAAGGGTATTTTTTATTTACTTCAAATTTTTTTTTTATTTTTAGAGCTTTTTTCAATGCCATATAAAAGGGCTTTAAAAATATTTCTTTGAAACTCTCTTTAGGTTAGAAACAATCTTGAAATTTTGAATAAAAATACTTTAACTTAGTTTACCTGTTCAAGGGTTTTTCATGTTTCTTTATTTTTGTCCGATATTGTACTGTACTTTTAATCTAATCAGACTCTTCTTCATCATTGTTGCTGGACTCATTGTCGATTTTTATTGGTTCTGACATGTTTGGCAGTTCAGATAAATTTTTCTTGGAAGCTGAAATTGTAATGTCAATTAACAACAGTTACTGTAATCATCAAAGTAAAACAACTACTTACTAGGTTTTTTCTCTATGTTTAGGTCAGCTATTTTTGAACCTACATAAAACCCCACTTTTTTAATCTCTGCAGAGATCAAAGACTTCTCACAGCCATGTTTTTGAAGATAATGTTCATAAGTATCTGAAATTCCACATATTAGGATACTTACAAATTTCTTAAAGGTTAGAAAAATATTTACCACATATTGCCCTTATTTTCGTAGGGTTAAGAGGAGGTTTGGCCACAGCCCCCTTAAATCTATTGGTTGCTTTGCCTGATACACTTGACTTGGCAAGTGTGCCTGCTCCAAAAAGAGACAGGGCCAGCTCCTTTACAAATGCCCCTGAGGGACCTGGTTCCCCTTTGTTAAAGCAATAATGGTACGAGTCTTTATCTAAAAAGACATTCCTGCCTAGGTGGACCTGAAAAGAAGAATATAAAGTATACCTAATAAATTTATTAAGTAGGTATATATCAATTCAATTCAATTCAATTCAATTTTATTAAGAATATTTTATAATTACAATAATATAAAACATAGATGGGGATCCGCCTAAACAGTGTTTGTGTGCGGTATACGTTTTAATAGTATGTTTTTAAACAATATTAAAAATTTATTTTATTACATATTATTGTTAAAGGGAAGAAGAGAGAAAAGGAGAGAATTTAAAAGAATGGTAAAAGATATCATATTTAATAAAAATTATGCATAGTTTTTTTTTTTTGTTAGGGAGAGGCTACAAACATAATTTTTAGATTAAAGGTTCAAAAATGTATTTAAAAGTTTCATAGTTATTCAAAATAAATATTTTTACAGACTTTCTAAATTTATTTAAATTTTTGGATAGTTTTATTTCATTTGGTAATAAATTATAAACTTTAGGCCCAAAGAAAAAAAGTGATCTTTGAGTTCCAGTTTTTTTATACAGAGGTACATTTAGATTGTTAGTAAAAACCACTGAATTTTGAAAATCTTTTTTATTTTTGTAGACCCATAGTACAGCATGATATAAAAAGACCTGCCTGATCGTAAAAATATTAACCTCTTTAAACAATAGGTTTGTGGGATACCTACGGTTTTTGTTAAACAAAATTTTTATTAAGTTTTTTTGTGTGATTTCAATGCCATAAATGGCATCATCTACCATTACACCCCAGATACTTATGTAATATCGAATTATGGACTCGGCCAAAGCACCATACACCGTGAGCAAAAGCTTATATGTTAATATATTTTTTAGTTGGTAGAAAATATAGATCAGTCTTCTTAGTCTATTATTTATAAAATTTGCATGATCTTTCCATTTTAAATGCTGATCTACCAGTATACCTAAATATTTAACAGTTTCTTTACGTTTTATTAAGGAACAGTCACAAACTTTATTGCAATTTAAATTATGAATTTTAAGGAAATCGTTTTTTGGTCGACCTGCTAATGTTAAGGAGAACGTAATAAAATGTGTTTTTTCAATGTTTAGACTAAGAAGACTGGTATCCAACCAATTTTTTATGATTGACAAGCCCCCCTCAGCATGATCATAAACATCCTTCCATGTGTCAGCCAGAAAGACAATGGCAGTATCATCAGCATATGAGAAGATTTCACCACTAAAATTTTCAATATTGTAAATGCTATTTATGTAAATTAAAAATAGAATAGGACCCATGACTGTTCCCTGGGGCACGCCTCTGGTTACAGTCAATGGGTCACTTAAAATATTATCTATTTTTACCTTTTGTTTTCGATTTTCTAAGTAGTCTTTAAACAAAAGTAATGCAGTACCACGTATGCCAATGTCTTCCAGCCGTTCAAGTAGGAGCTCATGATCAACAGTGTCAAATGCCTTTGCCAAGTCCAAAAATATCGCGATACATTTCTTATCTTTATCCATACCATTAACAACAACCCTGACAAATTGTATCACAGCCTCTTCAGTACCAATTTTTTCTCTAAAACCAAACTGTCGTTTGGATAAGAAATTTTTGCTATCAAGAAAGTTCATTAATCGCGCTTTTAAACATAATTCAAACAATTTGGCAAAGTTGTTAATAACGGAAATGGGTCTATAATTAGTAGTTTGTTTTTTGTCTCCTGCTTTGTATACCGGGGTAACAACTGATTCCTTCATGGCCGTAGGAATCACACCAGTCTCAAAGATAAGGTTAAATATATGTAATAGGGGCTTAATTATAAATCTATGAATGGTTTTTATAGTATAAGTTGATATACCATCAGAACCCGGAGCTGCTTTATTTTTTAATTTATTAATATTTATGATTATTTCATTTTCTTTTAGTGGATTTAAAAATAAAGATTGGTTATTGTTATTTTTTGGTTTATATTTAACTGGACAACCATGATCAATCTCTCTCGCCATTTTTTCACCGATTGTAATAAAAAAATTATTAAAATAGTTGGCTTTTTCTTTGTCATCTAATATAGTTTCACCTTGTATATTTACTAATTCGATTTTTGCATTGTTGTTAGTTTGTTTTATATTCGAAGCCTGGTTAATCACTTCCCAGGTTTTTTTATAATCATTTTTTGCATCTAATAATTTACGTTGGAAATATTCATTTTTTGTATTAAAAATAAGTTTATTTAATATATTACGGTACGTTTTAAATTCTTGTATTTTATTTTCAGTAAAATGTTTCCGTAGTTGTTTTTTTAGGTAATCTCTTCGACGTATACATGATATTAAGCCCATGGTAATCCAGGGCTTAATCTTTGTATTTTTATTATTTTGAATATATATAATACGCTTATTTTTGTTAATATAATAGTTAATTTTATTTATAAAGTTATTAAATGAATTTTCTGAATTATTTTCCTGAAGAATATTCAACCATTCTTCACCTTCAAGGTCCTTTAATAAAGTCGAAAAATTTATTTTAGTTATTTTTTTCTTATTATCTTTAGGTGCATTATTTTGTAAAAGATTATTTTTAATGTTGAGAAAGATTATATCATGATCAGTTAAGCCAGCTTCAAAAACATAAGAATTAATACACAACTGTTTATCAATATTTCTATTTTTTGTACCTATAAAAAAATGATCTAATAGACTAAGTTTTTCTTTTTTCCTTGTAGGTACATCTATGTATGAAAACATATTGTTTTCATAGAGTATATTTAAATATTCAATTAACTTAACTTCATTTTGGTCAAGCAGATCAATGTTTATATCACCCGTCAGTACTTCCACATCACACTGCAACCGGTTTTCATAAAAAATTTTAAGATCACCGATAAACTTTTCTTTATCACTTGCGTATGGCCTATAGCATGCAGTAATACCAATAGTAAGTTTGTTAATTGTAACTATTGTTCTAAGAAGATATATTTGTTGAATTTTTACAATTTCAGTATGGGCATTTAGAGAATTTTTAACATATATTATTGTGCCATCATTTTGATTAAACTTAGATTCGCTATAAACTATTTGAAAATTATTAATAGAAAAATTCCTTACGTCAACCACCTCCCAAGTTTCCGAAAGTACAATAATGTCTATATCCTGATAAGTGCATAGTTCATCATAGTTTTTTTTATAGATCTAATATTTACATGAATTATGTTTATAAGTCTCTCCCTAGTTACTACTTTTTTACATTGAAAAATATCTGATATAACAACCGTTTTAGTTTCCTTTTTTTCCATTTCTCTCTTCAGTTATATAACCTTAATTAGCCTAAATCTAAAACAAAAATAATTATTATTAACTGTAAAAAAACAAAATTCAAATTACGCGTTTATTAGAATCTCGCGTGTATATATATTTATGTACAATAAACTATTAGAGTAAAAAAGACAGTATTTATTTATATTTTATCTAATCACTATTTTCCATAACAAAATCCTCAATTTGTTCTAATGTTTCAATCCTTATGTAATCTCCTTGAAGTTTCGCATATATAGTTCCATTCAGCGACCAAGCATTTTTTATTCCCAATTTTTCTTGAGCTCCTTTTAGAATAGATTGGTTTGTTTTCGTTAAATCCTCGGCTATAAATACCTTTTGTCCTTTCAAATTTTTTCTTTTTTTTATAACTTCTTGTTTATATAATATAGAACTAAATTGTACAATTATTGGTCTAGTTTTACTTTTATTTTTGCCAATTCTATATACGTTTTCAATGAAATTCTCGTTTAGATTTATTTTAACACTATTGTTCAAGTAATTAATAACAACGGACCTGGTATTTTCATTTTTGTCTTCCTTTAGTCCATAAATACAAACATTTTTAGCTTTATCCTTTTGCTCCAGCTTATTTATTTTACTTTCGAGTGCAGCGGTTTTGTTTACAACACTTTTTATGTCTTCTTTGAGTACATTTAGTTTTTCTTCAATTTTTTCGCTGACCTTCAATGCAAGTTTGGATATAAAATTATCATCATTTAAAAATTCGTTTATTGTTTCCTTTATTATGTTATGTAAATCCATATTAGCGGCTTTTTCCGCTGTTTTTCTTGTTGTAGCCATTTCCAATTTAATACAAATTAAGGAACACAGTTAATAAGTAGCACTATATAATTTTCACTTTACTGACTTATTTTTACTTAATTTTTAATTTAAACACGGAGCGATCTAATAACCGTGCATTACTCGCGCAGCGCCATCACATGGTTGTTGAATATATAATGTATATTATATTATATTATACATATAGGTATATATATATATATTATATAGTAGTATATTATATAGTAGTATATTAGACTGGTTCAAAAAAATCGAATATTTAAATATTTTAAACAGATTTGTTTTAAACTGTTTAAAACATGTTTTTAACTTTATTTTTTTACCAATTTTAGTTAAAATAATAAAAAAAATATTTGAACCTGTTTTAAATTGTTTTTTTTCTAATTTAATTAAAAAATAATACACAATTATACATACTTTTTTAATTTATATTAAAAAACTAAACTAAACATGTCATGTCGAATGAATTTCTTTCAATAAAACTAAATAAACTTCAAAACACTAAATAAATAGAAAGAAATATTAATGTATTAAATTTCTTCATTGTCACTAAAATAACCACTTTTAACATTTGAGTTTAAATGTTCAAATATTGAAACCAATTTTGAGGCTTTCTCTGTGCCCAACCTATTCCGAAGTTTGGTGTGAATTATACCAAATGAAGAGAATAGGCGTTCAAGTCCTGCAGACGATGCAGTAGCAGAAAAAAGCTGTTGGACAAGATTTATTATAGCCTCATTTAGATTATCCTTTAAAGCAATCCACCAAATAAGTGATTTGGTCTCTTTTAAGGCATCTGAAAATAAGTATGACCTAAACGGCGATACCTCCGCCTGGTAACTAATGATTAAGGGCATTGTTTCAGGATAATACAAAGAAGCATATTGAAGAGCCTCCTCTCGTTGCTCCTGACTTAATTTAGCTCCTCTAAAACGGTGGTCTAATAAGTTGGCTAGGTAGTGTGCTGAAGTGATTGCCATTTTAAATCTTTTTAAAAAATGACCCAAATCCGAACTAGAACAATTTTCATTAAAAAAGCTAAATAGGTCCATCCAAATTTCAGTTGATTCACTTATTGTACAATCATCTTTCTGGACTTTATCTAAAGCAATGGCTATTTGTTTTAACTTAAGCAAAAAGTCTTGAGCATTCATTTTTAAATTTATATCATGAACTTTTATAGATATATCAATGTCAATGGCAGACCGGTTTTCAGAACAAATTTTTGACAATATATGCCAATTTTCTATGTATGATTCTAGACAGTCAGCCAGTGTATTCCACCTTACATTTTGTGGCAACACAAGCGCTTTTCCACCAGATTTTTTATATTTACCAGCTGCAAAATGTACATTCCTAAAATATTTAATTATTTTTTTAATATGTTCTTTCACTAAAGGTACCTGAATATCCTGAGACAACAGGTTCAAAATATGTGCTGAACATCCATATGTAAGTATATCTGGCAGGCCAACTTCTTCGGATTTTGCTAGTTCGCATTTTAGTCATGTTCGCAGCATTGTCAGTAACAACGCTCCGAACAGTGCAATTATACGTACGGCAGCGCTTTATTGACTCTACTAGTAAGGAGAGTAAATATTCAGAGGTATGGCTTTTGTCTTCTGTATCAATGGTATCAATGAGATATACGTTTCCATTTTTCTCCTGAATATCAGTTACAGAAACACATACTATGGAGTCATTCCTTATATTGCTCCATCCGTCGATAGACATGCATACAGTTTTATTTGCCAATTCTTTTTTCATTACTGTATATAGTGAATCATACACGCTGCAGAGAAGTTCGTTGCCAATCTTGTGGCTGATAACCTGGATGCAGGATTTCTATTAGTTTTTTAAACTCATGATGTTCTACTGTCCTAAATGAACAGTTTGTTTCGTAAATAAATCGAGCTACTTGGATATCAAATTTATTTTTTTGTGATTCTGTTGTTCTTGTAACAAATGAGTCAAGTTGAGATTTGGGGCGCTTGCGAATATCTCCTGTATCTGATAATAATGAAATACTGGAAGCGGAACTGCATTGTGCATTGTTGCGGGTCTGTGATGAAGTATTACTTGAGCCTAAAAACAAACATGTGAGACTTAAAATTTACTCGTCATTCATCAATAATTTTTAAAGTAGGACGTAAAAAAGGTAAAAATTAAAATATGTGTTTTTTCAGGACGAAATATCTTAAATTGAAAGTGGAAGTTTCAGAGACAACCGATAAAAAAATAGGTATAAAGTGCAACAAAAATAAAAAATTAAATAAAAAAACTTTTTTTTAAAGATTAATGACCGATAGTTATTCAAAAATTAATTGAATTAAATACAAACGGTAGTTTATTAAATAATGCAAGCCTAATAATTATAATAAAATAAACTTTACCCTTAAACAGGTTAAACTAAACAACAAAAATGCTTAAATGTTTAAACACTTTAATTTTAGCCTATTCCAAAAAGTATAAATACCTACTAACCCTAAAATTTTTAGGGTTAGTCTTTATACTTTTTGGAATATCCTTTATAATTATTAATAAACTTACCTTTTTCAGAAATGTCCGTTTCGGATTTATCAGAAACCTGAGGAATAGACTTTTTGCATACATTTATATGTTTTTTTATTCGAACCACTAAGGGCACTATTTCAGTTTTGCAATTTTTACACTGTGCCCTAAAACTCGATTTTGATACAGCTTTTGCTGCAACTTGTATAAAATGTTGCCAAATCGGGTCCTTCCTCCTGCCTGTCATGTTGAGAAAGGTATTTTTACGTAAAAATATGCTGACGTAATTGTATTTAAAAAAGAAAAACAGTTAACACTATTCCCATATCACGTTTATTAATTTCGACCATTTTGTTGACTTTTAAATCAACATCAAGGACATGCGCAATACTAAAATAGAGACTTAACCCGCCATCTATTAGGTAAATGCGTTGTTATATTGTAGGTATTTATAAAATAGGCTTTAAGCAGTAACGCATAGAGGGAGCATAATGCCTATCTTTCTAAAGTGTTATGCATTATTATTTTAAACTAGTTTTAAACATGTTTTAAACGTTTAAAACATGTTTTTTTATAAAGTGTTTTAAACAGTTTAAAACAAAAAAAAAACAGTATAAAACAAAAAAAAAACATGTTTTTATGTTTTATTAAAAAAAAAACATGTTTTTTTCCAACCCTGGGTACGAGGTTAAGAGGATGGCCGACGAGAAAGTGTCCAGGAGTGAGGGTTTCGAGGTCATTTGGATCATTAGTTATTGGTAAGAGGGGTCGCGAATTTAATATAGCCTCCACCTGAACCACAAAGGTATAAAATTCCTCGTATGTGAGGGGGTTTTTATCAGACACTATACGGCGCAAGTGATGTTTAAAAGATTTTACGGCACTTTCCCATAATCCCCCAAAATGCGGAGAGTTAGCGGGAATAAAGTGAAACTGGATCATATTATTTTTGGCATAAGTTTGAAATTCAGGAAATTGACAGAGGTTATGAATTTCTCGCAGCTCGCTACTTGCACCAACGAAATTGGTTCCATTATCGGAATACAAGTTCTGACATAAACCGCGGCGGGAAACAAATCTTTTAAGCATGGCCAGGAAACCTTGCGAGGTGAGGTCTGAAACAAGCTCCAAATGCACCGCCTTGGTGGCCAAACACACAACTATGCATAGGTAGGCCTTTATAAATTTTTGGTTACGAAATTTTGAATCTTTTATAATGAAAAATCCAGCACAATCTATACCAGTGTGAAGAAATGGTCTGGATGGGTTTACCCTTGGTTAAGGTAAGTCTCCCATAAGCGTATTTAAAGTTTTAGGCCTTTGTTTATAACAAATTATGCATTTATGAATGACAAGTTTTACTGAAGATTTTCCCTGTATGGGCCAGAACCTTTGCCTAATAAAAGAGAGGGTGGATTGTGTTCCCGGATGGAAGTTTAATTGGTGTATGTGTGTTATGATCAAACGAGTAAATGGATGGCTCTTTGGTAAAAGTATGGGGTGTTTAGCATGGTAATCAAGATGGGAATGTTTTAGTCTGCCACCGACCCGTAATACTCTGGTTTTATCAATGAATGGATTTAAAGATTTCAATTTACTTTGAGGTTTTAAAATCTTTTGTTTTTAGGTTTTGTAGATCATTAGAAAATGCTTCACCTTGAACTAT